CATCCAGCTCTACACCTTGTTATCTCAAATAACTAACTGTAGTTCCTATAGTCAGGAAGAATCCACTTAATCAAAGACCTTACTCTGGAAAAAAGATAAAAACTGAAAGAACTGTGGATGCTGCAAATAAGAAATGAAAACAGAAATTGCTGGAAAAGCTCAGCAAATCTGCCTGCATCTGTGGAGAGAAATCAGAGTTTACTCTCAAAAGGTAGAACTCTGATTTCTGTCTACAGCTGCTGCCAGACTTGCTAAGCTTTACCAGCAATTTCTGGTTTTGTTTCTGGAAAAAAAGATGTCTGGTTATCTGTCTCTATTTTTACAATTACCAGATAGCATCATTATGAATGCTTGGCTGAGTTCCATGACTTATTAATAGAGTCTAAAATTCAGCAGAGTCCACTTATACAGGTGGAAAGGGAGTATTTTCTATTTATTCCCTTGATATTTATTTTCAAATCTGTATATCTTTATTTGGGTAAGATTAAGGGCTGAATTTTTTAGCTAAATGCTGAGTTGTTGGGAGGGTTTTTTTGTCATACGGCCAAGCAAGTTTTCTCACTATATCTTGCCCAATACACCTCATTAACTACTACCAGCATCTATCCCATAGTGGCCCTCTCATCTAATTCTGCCCACATTTTACCGCGCAACAGTTCTGGAACAACTTGCCATTCAGCAGATATCCACTAAAAGATTGGCATCTCTCGCATCATTGTCATTTTTAAAAGGCTGCTGTATATCTGAATTAGCATCAGCAATCTGGTATTGTCCTTCAGCCACAAAACCGTAAGCAGCATGGATGATACTGCCTTGTGTATAGAACCCCACTGTCACACCCTACTTGCTGTTTAACCTCTAGGCCACATGGTTTACCCATCCTTAGCTACATCCCGTCTAAACAGCCTCTCCAATAGCCTCACTGCTGCTCTGCCCCAATGCCTACTGAAGTCCCATAGCTTGTCATTGTCCAGCAGGGCAACATCACACACAGGCGAGCAATCTGACAATTTCAAACATGAGATTTTATTTATATCCAGCAAAGCCAAAGATAAATAAAGGGAGTAGAGAGGCTACAGTTTTCTCCCATAATGCAAATCAAATGCTGATGACATGACCAACAACTATTTTACATTTTATGATAGCCTGCTGCACCCAGCTGTCACCTGCTGGAACTGGGTGTCAGTCAGATCCTGGAGTGCCCAAAGCAGCAGAACCACATCTCCAGCAAGACCCTGATCGCAGCATGTACACCAACTTTGTGAAGTTGGCCGGCTGAGCGACCAGCACATTACATCAAATAAGTGTGCATGCTGCATACCACCCTATCCCACCGTAAACCCATTTTAATTCTTAAAATATTCATTGCATCAATGAGTCCTTAGTCGTAATGATAGGACATATGCTAAAGTGATGTTCCCCTCCTTCCACAATGCTCTTAGAAGTTTTGCCAGTAATGGGATATTTTTGGCCAGTAATCTCTTCTTTTTAAATCATTGCTGTTAAATTCTGCCTCATTGAGATGGCTGTATTAGTTTGCAAGCATCAATGGTATGGTGCAAATTGCCCTTGACCAGCATTTGAAGTCTAAGCACTTTCACTCCCCATGCATTACAAATGGGAAAAAAATAATTAGTAATGAAATGTAGATGGAGTTTTTAAATGTATGCTTCAGTTTTTTTGACCCTAAGGTCCAGCAGACGTAAATTGTGCACCTCCACCCATCAAGCTAACACTTGCTCCATTCACCCTGGACATTGTCTAAGCCATTTTTCTGTTGCATTTCACATGTGGAGAAAAGCAAGCGATGGCAGGGAATATAGCTCGCAGTGAATAATGTAAACATTGGAGTCCACCTGGTCAATTCCCAGAGCCTTGATGTCCCATTTTACGCTACCTCGACAACATATTTCCATTCTCCCATATGGAGGTCTACAACATTGAACATTATCTTCAACTGTCTTCCCTGCCACTGAGTACTGACATTATACTTCATTGATTCCAACTCCCACTCCAACCCTGTGGAGGCTACATAGGTAGTTATTGCCGATAGCCCCAACTTCTGTAGAGTACCACACCCTCTGATGCTGTTCCTCCTACGTTTCCATGCACCTTGAGTTTCCCTCTTGCCACTGTCTCTGTCCCCACGTCTACAAATAACTCTGCTCTCCCCCACAATCTTGATTTCCTCTCTCCTTTTCGCAGTTATCCCCTGACTACCCCTGCAGGCCCATTGCATTCTCCGCAATGATCACACACCAATAAACGGAAATGTATTTGCCCTAGACATCCAACTGACTTTGACAAACAGTCCTTAAATATGACTGACTAGATCTCTGGCTATTGCGTTTGCAGCTCCCCAGTTCAGAATTTGCAGTTCCGCTGAATGCTTATGATGGCCGTATAGGAATGATCATTGCCCTCTCCAATCTTGTAGTGGGACATATCCCACTACAATCATTATACATGCTGTAGATGTTAGATTGATGTTTTGGTGTGCTGTACAGCAAAGCCTTTTCTCCCTCCACTACCAGATAAATTCCCACTGACAAGCAACTGTATCTGTATCTGTGTAATAGAATACTTCAGTATAGCAGTAGTGATAGATTTTGCTCTGGGTAAAGCACCAATACCCTAAAAGGCATAAAATGGCAAGGCAAGGCATCATGCAGTGACCTTTCAGCTAGGCGCCACATGAGCGGTAGCCAGTAAGTTGGGTGCCTGGCCCTGCACGCAAACTGTCCTTTCACTTCTGGTGCATCCTGCAATTTAAGTCTGTGCTTCCTAAGGTCCTGCAAGTGAATTGGAGAAATCCTCTGGGGATTATGAGGCATTGACATGGCTGATGGCAATGTTCATGTAGCTGGTGCCATGGGTAATGCCAGAGATGCTGCTTGGGTCTGAACAACATGGGCACTGCTTGCAGCCATCAGTGAGCTGCATTCACCACATACCCACTTTGACTTCCGTGTTAAGAATTCTCAACGTCTAGTTTGTTTGGTGCATTAAGATAAGAAATTGAATATTAATGAGGCAAATTATTGCTTTGGTAAGGCTTTTAGCAAGCTACAATCCCCCTTAATTGACAGTCACCATGGCCTAGTGAGAATTTTGCCTTGCTGCTTGACAAATGCATAATAGTTGAAGCAAGCTTTTGGTGATTGTAACAAGGTCAGACAGGTGGGCTCCACAGAATATGAATTCCCTGATTGGGGCTGTTAATCCAATCAGATGGGCAGCATGATGGTTCAGTGGTTAGCCCTGCTGTCTCACAGTGCCAGGGACCCAAATTCAATTGCACCCTCAGGCCACTGTCTATGTGGAGTTTGTACATTCTCCCCGTTTCTGTGTGAGTTTCCTCCATGGTCCAGAAATGTGCAGGTTAGGTGGATCGGCCATGCTAAATTGTTCATTGTGTCCAGGAATGTGCAGGCTTGGTGGATTCGCCATAAGAAATACAGGTTTACAGGGAGAGGGTAGGAGGAGTTCTGGTTGGGATGTTGTTCGGAAGGTCAGTGTGGACTTGATGGCCTGCTTCCACACTTCAGGGAATTCTAAATTCTATCAGGCTGGCTGACAGATATAAACAGGACTGTCAGAGGCTCTGTTTACTTTGAGCGCTGACTCCCAGGAAGCTGGATCAGTGTCAAGGACTCTCCACATGTAAATAAAGCGTGACTTGGTGATAAGATATCAGCACCTGTGGAGTTATTTCAGTGGCAACAAGAGAAAAGCACACTCCAGAAGAAATTTGCTCACAACAGTCTTTGAGTTGGCATAAATATTTCTGATATAATGTCGTTATTTGGGAAGTTTGGCTCATTCGATTCTGCAATCAAAAACTGAGCCCAATGTGTGAAGAGAGTACATTATTCTTTCCAGGCAAATGGCACTGGCGCAATTGAAAAGCAACGAGTAATTCCCCTGACAACTTGTGGACCCATAGGTTTTTCGGTTATTAGGAGCCTAACTTTCCCTGAGATTCAGTCAAGAAATATAAAAATGAAGCCTCCTGTAATACTGAGACACCATTGGTTTACTCAGCAATTCAACAACCAGGGGAATCCAAATCAGGATTTTTGACTAGGTTAGGATGACTGACAGAGGCATGTGATATTGATTTAACTCTTACTGTGATGCTGAGAAACTGTTTGGTATGCGGGATCAATGATGTAACCATGCAAAAGCACTTACTAACTGAAGCCCAACTGGATTTCAACAGGATCTACAACTGACTTTATTAATGCAAAATGCAGCAGGTGAAGTATATGAGTTGCACTTCTGATGGAAGTGGACACCCTCACCAGTCTGACTGAGCTTGGGGAACACAGCTTGACTGAAGGCTTTTGCATAGCCTCACTCAGGATATATCCTAAACAGAGGGACTCTAGGTCAGTCCACAGCAAAACCCTAAAACAAAGCCAAGCCTCAGCCAAACAGTTAAAATTTTCTTCAGGATCTAGGGTGACAAGCCAACGTAGTTGCTGCTGGTATTTTAAAGCTGCTATCAACTTCAAGACTAGCATCACTGGACTTTGCATGCAATTCTGCCACAAATCTCACCATAGCTAATGTCATTCAGACCCCTGTAAGATTCTGCTCAATACTTAAATAACCAATAAATGAAATAGTACCACAATAAATTTATAGATTACTTACTGTCTTGATTACACCATAAGCTAATAAGTTTAATTTGTAGAAGCTACATGCTAATCAAATACATACGTCTGATTTGTAACACATTAATCAGAACTTCTCACTGTCAGTATTTTCTAAGAACCAGTCATTAATTCTCTTTAGTTTATTTATCTTTTCTCCCCAGTTTTCCCCTCAGTTCTTTGTGAATTGTAATTAATGCCAGGAAACAATCATGCATTTGACAGCAGTCCTCAAATACAACTGCAAAGGGATAAGCTATTCAATAATGTGGAGGGAATTATCAATCCTCCATTAACTCAGGAATTAGAAGCAGAAGCCCAAACCAAATCTGTCCCATCTGCCCTCTGGGTAAATTAAAAGATTTTATGGCACAATTTTCAAGAAGAGTAAGGGTAATGCCCAAATGTTGCAGCCAATATTTTTCCTCAGCCCACGTCACTAAAACACATTTTATAACCACTATCAACACTCATGTTTGTGGGACCTACTTCTGCACAAAATGGTTGCTATGTTTCTCATGCCATAACTGATAATGCTTCAAAAGTATTACATTGTTAATAGAGTAGCTCAAGGTGTCCTGATCTCATAAAAGGGACTACATAAATGCAAATCTCTTTTTTCTATGCTGATATTCCCACTGTACGTTTTGTGCAATATCTTGATGTTATTTTTAGCTCATCCCTCCATGCTTGAGAAAATTGCAGTGTTTCACTGTTGCCCAGGGTGATATCAATTAGCCAAGCACAAACAAAGCACCTGATTTTGCTCTTCCTGATCTGTGTTTTACAGTACCACAGACTTTGGTTCACTCACCCACTGAATTATCAGGCCGTCTATGCATTTTGCTAATTGTGACACAGCACGTTGATTTATATAAAGACAAGGTAAAGAGACTGGAATAATTAGGTGTCCCACTTACTCAGTTCAAATCAAACCTACTGACAAGGAAGCCAGCATTGGTGGCTTGTTATGAATGGAGTAACTGCTTTCTGGTAACCATCACTTTGAACTGCCACTATGAATAAATCTAACTCAAGTACCCAAATATCAAAGAAAAGCTATTAACATCTGAAGAACTGGCATCCAGCTATAGTGCACTCTCTGCCATGAGGTCTAAAACATGAGAAGTCTGAAGCATTTTGAGTTGCTCAGTTGAATCTGTAATTGGGAGCTATTTGGAAATTGAAGTAGCTGGGGAACTAAAAGCTGCCTCTTGCAAATCCTGCTAATAAGATGAGCAGGGTCCCATTAGCTGACGTCTAAAAGAGATTTACAACTGATCGTCAGGATCAGATTATTTCAGGAACAGAGAGTGCTTCGTTCTCGAGTTGTCATTTTCATCACCCTGTTGTAATTGTGAGCTCAGGATTGATTTATCCCAAATTGGCCTTCTTGAGTTTGACAAGGGCAATTTTGAAGGGAGGAAGATTGCTTAGACCATCCATCCTCAAATCCACCCAACCTTCAGAGATTCAGCTACTACTTGTTTTGGAAGTCGTTTGGTTACAGCCACTCTGATTCTGTTTACAGAGACCTGCAGCTATAATTATTCTCCCCTTCAACAAATACTTTGGAATTTTCTGTTGAAATAATATCATCAGGTCTAAAACTACCAAGAAA